CTGACGAGCCGCAAACACCATAACTATGGTGCTGCGACCAGAACGGCATCTATCTTACTTTTTCTGTCACGTTCGGTTCAGCGACCTTGCTGACGAGACAGTGAAGCTGGATTCGGGCATTTTATGCAGCCATTTCCCTTCAAACACTTTAAGACAGCAAGAACGAACAACATTTGAGTGGGATAATCTGAATTCAGATTCGTTCTTGTCTTCTCAATCCGCTGCTTGCAGACAAAGTGTAAGGATTAAAGGGATGAAAATGAATCAGTTGAACAGTCCAAAATTCAAGGTCATCTCCTATAATGACGAGAAATACCCCCTACCAGGGCAACGTGACGCTGGCTACACAGTCGGGCGACCACTTTACCCATATAACTGAGCAAGTTGATGCCACGATATTTGTTGCAACATTGCCTGCTCCTTTTGCTTTTGTGCAGTGGTAGCACAAGGTCATCCTACAAATTAGCCGGCATTTCCTCTTCAATCCAAGTGTGTTGAATCAAGTGATGCAGCGCATTTATCAACGCGGATCGGCCGTATTTCCATACTTCAGGCAGGGTCCCGTCGGAATCAGTACACTTACGATTTCGCAGCTAATTAACTGCTCTCTATGTCTCATCCAGTATCGGTGTGTCGTCAAGCCACATATTCATTTCCTGTTGCAGCCCGTGCAACATAGAGCAGTCTATCTCTATACGGTTGCTCAAGAGACAGTCAAAGTGTCTGTGCCAGATCTGTATTATTTCTTCAGTCTATGTGGAGGCAGCGCCTGTAGTAACATCCTCAGTATCTCCCTTCTCGATCCATACACCGCGTTCAAAGAGTCAAAGAATTCCTTGTGTTGGCGGCGTTCTGTCTAGGATTCCCTTTGCTTCGCCGTCTCCGTCCACCATGCATATCTGAGGTGACGGAGCTCTCGGGTCGGTCGCCGTCGAACTTTGTGAACGTGACTATCCTCACAGTTAGCATTGTCCGCCACATGTGCAGCGAATGCTGTATTCTTCTCCGAAACCAATGCGCCAATAGCTGCGCTGTTGTCATAGCCTTTCCCAGTACCATCTTCTTCCCAATAGTACCTAGTGAAGGAATCTTAAATTTGCGCCGCTTCACGGCAGGTGTTCAATACACAGATTTACGAAACTATGTGTACAGTTTGGTCCGCACCATTTTGTGATATGTGTACACTTAACTCCACGCTGACGTATGATCACATAGTCGAGCAGGCGATGTGACCACTCCGTGGGTGCGTCCAAGTTACTAGCTCACTCGCACTCATTGCTGATCGAGTGTTCTTGATCGTCAGGCCGTGAGTGGCACACAATGAGAGCAGCCTGTCACCGTTCGCATTCGCAGAACCATTGCTATGCGGACCGATGACATCTGTCCACACTGATGCATAACGCCCAACGCGCGCATTGTAATCACCCAGCTAGTCAGTCGCTCCTCGGTACAGATCGTAACACGGAGGATAACTGAGTGTGGAACTGATCACGCATGTCATCAGGATACCACATGGTTGGACCGTACGTGCTTATAAAAGTAGCAAACTTGCTTCTACTTAGTCGTAGGCGATCAGTCATCCGTCGCGCACTGATGCCAGCTGCTTCACCCCACGTGTTGGCCATGGAGGCGATCGGATACTGCAAATCCGGCCCCATGTTCACGTGATGCTGTGGTGGCGTTGCCCACCCAGTAGAACGTGTAACCAGCACTTGCTTTGTGCAACTGGCCTTGCTTAGTGAGCCGGGTCTCACTGAGCGCCCCAATTCGGTATTGTACCGCGCCAGTTTCATCGCGACCAGTGCAATGAGTCGCTCAGGGCGCTAACTCAAGTTCCACTCAAGTGGGATGCGCACGTGCCAGAACCCGACGTTGAGCGCTCTGCGCGGAGGCATACGATTGCATTTGCGGGTAACCGTATGAGAGGTGGCGTCCTGGATTGGAGGAAGTAGTAGTGGGTTGGGTGAAACGGAGACGGGGAGAGTATGTGCATGTTTTCGCTTATCCACCACGCTGTATGCAGCAAATGACATGACCCTTTTCCTAGTGCCATTGCGCGACGGCCGATGCAGCATGGGATTATTATTATCATTAATATTATTGATGTGTTTCATGGTTGAGGAGTGGACTAGGTTACTGCCTGCCAATGCGTCCACACTTGACAGGGGAACGACTCGGATCTTCAGCTAAAGCCTTCGATAAAATGTGCACCCTAACGGCAGCGGGCCGTGTGCCACAGGTCGATGAACCAACTCACGCGGATTCGTGTGTGTCCCAGTTCTTAGCTAGCTGAAGGGTGTAAAGCGAAACCCACCCAGCGGTCGCCACGTTGCCTCCAAGACATGAGTCCACCACACAACCTTGATGGCAGCAGGTCGACGATCTGTCAATGCTTAGCCACCACAAGTCGCATCGCACTATGGACTCTCCCGCCTTCACAATCTAACCTATGCATGAAAAACAAAGTAGCCAACTATGTGTATTTCTTAACGACACTACCGGGCTTCCTTGGTGCCCACTGCATACTTTGGACCAAGGTAAGCTAACAGATTGATATTCCTGCGTGATGTTTGCCGACCGCATGTAGTGAACACTTTCGAGGTTCGACCAATGGTGTTTGACTGCAGACTTCTTGATTCTCCCTAAACTCCTTCGAGCTTGTATCGCATTCCTGCCCTGCAGCTGCTATAAGGTTCATCACGTGTTACCTCATAGGGTGCAACAGATAAGGTGACCCGATTTCACTCGGCCCCTCACTACGAAACACCGGCGTTTGCACACAATGGTTGATTTTTTCGACTTTTTTCTTTATTTATCCTTCATTCCTTTCTGTCACCATGTTTACGTGAGTTTAGTCACCTGAATGGGAAACTGGCTATTTAGCTGGGTTACTAAACATAGCTCACAATGCGGAACTTAGAAGTGCCAGCAAACTAAATAGTCGCATTCAATCGAACTATTAGAATTCTGTTCGCATTCACTATCGCTTTTGTGCAGACCATACCTCGACTCCTATATGCCATTGTGATACGCCTTCCCGGTGTGTGGCACCATCAGCAAGTACACACGTCATATCATTGTCACTGTCTGTGGTTTCGTACCAACTGGATGACTAGCCGTTGCTCACCTTATCAATGCATGCCACTCTGCAGCTCACGAATTGCCTGGACAACGTCCTCCACTCTAGAAATCCGACACTGTCAACTCTCCTGGCGGTTTTATCACGTCAGCACAATATTCAGCACACAGACGAACGAGGTTTGACGCTTTCTTTACTTTGTTTACCGAGTAATCGAAGCGCTGTTTTCGGAGTGGGCAGTGTTTTGCGTTTGGACCGTTGCTGCTCGGTTTAGTCTCCGCAGCAGCAATCCGATTGAATTTCGCTTCTTTTACTGTCGGCTTGTCCGTTCGGCTTTCGCCACCTGGTTTCCTCTCGCCCTTATCATCATCATTATACACGTTAGCTACTGGTGGAAAACACCTCAGCTATTATGCCGCAATACTAAAGACAAGAAGCAAAAAATACAACACTGGCGCGCCGGCTGAGTCCCCAGTAGCGGATGGACATTGTTCCGGAGAGCTAACAACCGGCTATCGTGCCGTATAAAGTGACCTAAATTATGTCTACCGAATGAGATAGTAATTAGATGGGGAGGCTAAACAGGAGGGGGTGGGGCCGGCTTCTAGCCATATCAGCAAGTATGTCCAACCAAACGTGTTCATCGTCCATAGGACTCCAACCAGGCATTCAGGATGTACTAAGCGATGATAACTTCGAAGTGAGGGTTTTCGTTTCTCTCGACCAAGTCATCGCTTGGCCTTCCTCTTCCAACCGCACACCCGGCGCGCAAACAATGCACGTCACGGGAGTCGGTGTGCTGGCATGCGTAACACGTCTCCCAGCCATCGGAGCCTGATGCATGATATAATGGTGCTGAGCGATTCACTCGCTCTTCCTGCACCAAATACGCGACGCCGAACACGCTCATTGCTCACGCGGTGTTCCCACCAGACATGAGCTAAGCTGCGAAGGCAGTGATGATCGTATGTAACGAGCCTCTTTATGTCTTTCGGTCTGATGTGTCAGGTTTTACAACTGTACAAGAGAGTTGAACGGACGGCTGTGTTATAAACTCTGCCCTTCAGGGCAAGAGTAATGTCGCATCTGTGCCACAGGTGGCGGAGAGTGGCAAAAGCACCTCGAGCTTTTGCTATACATTTCGTAACCTCATATTCGATTCCACGGGCGCTAATATAGCTGCCCAGGTACTAGAATTCCTGAACGACTTCTAGCTGAACACCACAAAGCGTTAGCTCAGGGGTGGGTCCATGCCAATCTTGGAGAAGTATTTTGCATTTCGATGGAGAAAAGCATAGCCCAAAACGATAGACAGCCAGTGCTAATCGGTCCATTGCTATTTGACATGTTTGGAGGCTGTCACAGATTAGGGCAATATCATCCTCGTACTCTAAGTCAAGAAGTCGCTCACCAGGAAGTAGCTCCCCGCCTTCTAGGTCGTGTCCAGCGAGCGCTTTTGTTTGACGGTTCCCACGTAACGGCATACGCAGTACGTGAGTCCACAAGATGTTTGACGAAAAATCTGTCACTGTTTGCTACTGCATTCCTCCAGGTCGTCGCACTTGTCAAACATCGATATCCGAATGCAAAATCTGCGTTATTCTTTACGGTGGATGACCACAAACTGATGGTCGCACCACCTCAGTTTCTACCTGCGCCAACTTTTCTTATCGTAACGTTCATATCACTGCATTTCTAACTCTTACTTTCTGTTGTTGCATGTAAATAAGGTATACAGTGTGCAAATATAACATTTTAGCCATCATTTTACATTGATTTAACTTTTTCGACTGATGGAGTACCCAACCTTTTTGTCCTCTTGCTCCTAGTTGTGTCATGTATACTCCGTTTGTATTTCTGCTTCGAATAATGATCTACTATCTCGGCGAAATTAACAATATAGCGTATTTTTTATTTCCAGTCCGATAGCATACAGTTGTCCACTGTCGGTCGTTGCATCAAGGGAATCAAGTCCGCTCACGCACAATCTGGATGTCCTAAACCATTACGAGGTTCCGTCATGAGGCAAAATTGTATCGGTACCGGAATGAACGATGCCACAGAGCTGGTCGCTTTGCTTTGTCTCGAGTGCGATTCCTGTTCCTTTCTGGAGGTCGTTGTTTGAACTTCGATTTTGTAAATTTCCAACGGGTGTATAATGTGTGAACCCCCTGACTTACGGAAGTGCACTAAGTGAAACCGGTCAATCACTTTTAAATGCACGATCCCTCCCGAGATTATCAGTCGTTTACACCGCAGTGGCTTTTTCGCCTTCTACCAGTCATCCACACACTTTTTTCGTGCTCTTGGGGTGAGTATCAGCTTGATGGCCATGTCCCTTCATGCCCTTGAACTGATGCAGCTTATTGCCATCCACTTCTACGTCGTCTCTCTCATGTGAATCGGTTCCAGCTTGATCCGGAGCAAGTGTACAGGTTCATCAAGCGGCTAGCTCATAGAGTCCGGACTACGCAACTTGCATGTACCAAAACAACTTCCCCAACAATGATGGCGCCGTGACCTGTGTTCTACTGACACACTTACGAAACCTCCAGTTTGGATTGCTGCCAGTCTCGGTCGTGTTGTACGCGTTGGACTCACGGAATCGGCCTTGGTGCCTGTGCCCGTTTTAGTTTCATTTTTCAATGCTCGGTACTCAGCATTCTGCTTATCATTAGCTTACCTCTATTCTTTTGCCTACCTCACTGTTTCTACGATCTATTATCACTAGATACTGCAAAAATAAATTTTACAACCACGCATTTGTTTGTTTCTCACTTCTAGCTAACGCATGTCCATGCTTGGTTTTGATTTTTCTTCCTGGTCTCTACCCAACCGTATGACAGGGTTACGCATTTCTGGTACTTGATTTTCCGTTCCTCTATCAGCCTCCACGTAAGGCCAAAACTGTACTCAGGAACAAATTTATTCAGTTCCGATTTGATCCGCTTTGCGCATATTCTGTGTTTGTCACTGCGTTTAGCTCTCCAGATTGGTCACAGCGCACTTGACTTTTACCTCAAAACAATGTGCCATATTTGTTTTGTTCACTTCGGTTGTTGACAATACAGACACCTTATTTATTATCTTCGGGAGGCGGTCAGTCACCGTTTAGGCACAGGGTGCTCAGGTTTATTTACGGCACCTGGCTTCAGGGCTGTTCCCACCGGTCATCTTCCGCACTGTTGGAGTACATGCTTACCGCCATTAGTTTCATTTGAATAGGGCCTTACTTGTGTCTTTCATAGGTTTCATTTTCCAGACTGCGCGAGTTTCTTGCCTTGATTTTGGAGCGCCGTCGCGGGAATTCACATAGCAATAGATGGTAGGTGCTTGGCGGGGGGCATTGATCGACTCTTAATTAATCTTGATTTTTATCATTGTTTCCCGTGGCATTCTGCATTTTTAGACTGAACGTAGATGCGGCTGTTTGGATCACAGTGATAGATAATCCAAAGCATTCAGCCAGCTGTCAATACAGGTATCTTACGGTATTCCGAAACCTCAGTAAGATACTCATGGGTTTTGCTTTTTCTATGGTCGCGCTGTGGTTTTGTGTCACACAAAATACAAAAGTGTCGCAGAGCTGACGTCTGGTGGCGAAATGGAATCTGTGTCAAAATGCCATATACATTGGCCTCTCATCTGGAGTTTACGTTCATTTCATGTCACGTTTCTCATAGCCTGTGTGATACCGTTAAGTTGCGGCACTTCCTTAACCGACGCCGGTTCGTTTCAAGTATGGACGACTGCTTAATATTCGGAGATCGAATTATGATGCCAAAGAAGTTACAAGGTCAATTTCATGCAGGACACCTTTTAGACAGTCATGTCACACATTTTTGTTTAATAGCTGCAACTAAATTCAGAAACCAAAGTTTTGCCACACATTGCGAATTCTATTAATTTGCGGTGGTGGCTTCTCACAATTGTCGATGGTAGCCTTGGTCTAAAACAAAGAGACCATGACAGAGAATCCAGGTGAATTATGCAGCACCAATCAGTAGTCGAACCTATCTCATTTTTTGGAATTCCCTCACTAAGTTGCCTAATATGACTCCGACGCACAATCCAACCATCCGATATGCTATCAACGAGCTGAACAAACTTCTGTTAATTTGCCACACCAGAGATAGTAGTGATAGACTATTGGAACGTATTTCGCCTTCATACCCTTCCAAGTGTTTTGGAGGGCAAACAGAATTCAGCCAAATTTACCCCTCCAGCGGTTATGACTCGCCGCCAACTAATGTCACTGCTTCTTGCTTATCCGGACAATCGTATTCAATCCACAGACATCACACACACCCCTTCTGACACTGGCGACCCGATCAAACACAGCCAAAAGTACAGCGACGCAATTACAAATCCAAACAACACAGCTTCATACATATGTACATTCTTGGATCTACAGATATGACAATATTGTTATCCTTTCTTACATTACTCGATCACTCTTGCCATGATCATGCCTGTGCAGGCGCGCCTCGCGTTCTCGAGAATAAATAGTTTATGTATTTACTTCCATATGTGTCCACTATAAGGCGGGAAGGAAAACGTCGTCAAAAGGCATAATTCGGCCTTTTCTGAGGATCTATCGGAGTACTCAGAATCCGAACCTCCACCCACCGCTGCGCAATCACCTTCGAAAAATGCAAATTACATTCGCTAACGTTGTATTCATAATAGCGGAATTACGCTGCATCGAACAGGCGAAGTAAGCACAGTGTGACATGCTCTTTGACTTCAAATTATTCGTCTGGTCTACGCACAAGACTTCCAGTACCTGGAGCTCGATCAAGTAAAACCCTTTCCAGCAGCAAGGGTAATGCACGTCACGAGTGATCGGTTAAGAATAAGAAGTGGATAAGACGCGTCAGTCACTTTTGATCGAATCACGGAATAACGCACCTCCCTCGCGACTGAGCCATGTTACAGCGGCGACTCCTGCTGAACACCATCGGCTGGGAGCAGTTGGCTACCTAGATCATTACAACTTCGACAAGTGCCACAAGATTCATCATTCACGCTATTCCAAACGTAAACGATTAAAATGACTGTATGTCGATACCAAGTTAAAAAATAATTAGGGTCAGAGTCAAAATCGGGCAAGATGTGAATGGAATCAACTCGGGGGCGACGTCGAACGAGCGCCTGCACCCGACCATACAAAGCGGTAATAGATCGGTGGTTGAAAAGCAGAGACGTCCATGTGGGGATTTATGTCTAAGGCCTAATAGCAGTCGTTTTCAACGAATACGTAGCCTAACCAATCGGGTATTAGCTTTTGTTTTCTTTATTATTATTGGATCGCTGGACCGACACTCTTCTTACAACGATGGTATCGCTTCAGTCCAGCGTCGAACATCGGCTGGTGTCACAGATTCACACTTTCAGTTGGCAAGAGAAACACTTTACACTACCGTTTGTGGGCGGATAGCTGCTCTGTTGGCACCCTAAAATATCTAGCGTTCCTGTGAATTGCACACTGTCGGTCATGGCAGTTACAACACAACCGTAGAAAGATGATTAATAAAATCTCGAACATTTCCCTCCTTGTTACTTGGCGTAGGGGTCAGCAGCGGTTAGCAAGTAGCTCGCGTCATTGTAGACGGGAAGCTGCTCAACGATTTCCATTTGAGTACGGGCAATTCGAGAACTGTTCGGGGGGAAGCAGTCATTTAGTGCCTTGATGTACTGTTGCGCTTCCGATCTTTGACAGCCGAGACATGCGCATTCCTTGACTGTCATTGCGACGAGAATGCACTTTAACGTGGTGCGATGTTTTGCGTACCTCAGCGATCCATTAAGCTTTGTTCCGTGGTGCATTTTGCAATTTCAGGGTCACTCATACCAGATTGGTCACGCTGCGTACTGCCAGCTATTTGGGCCAATGGCTTTGGTTGCGAACCCTAATCCTTCTCCCTTCTAGACAGTATCCTGTCCACGCAATACAATGAGCGTCTCTTTACACAAATCCCCGATGCCTTGGCCGTCGCAGGGAATAATCACCGGTAACCTATCTGCTGCATCGAGCAGCGTGGAAATGCTACTGCTCAGGATTTTTCGCCTTGTTATTCCCCCCTCGCAATTTATCGCCCATTTCCAACTCCAGTTTCATCCCTTCTGTTTTCAGTCCCCCTCCACAATACTTAGCACTCTCTTATCCTGATTCAATAGGCATTTACCTTTTGGTTTCACCTCACGCACTCTCAGAGGGTCACACCGGTCTGTAGGTCTAACAAAAATACTAGTCCGAGATGGTACGCGTAATCAAGCGCGGAGATCAGAAGGCGATTGAAGTCGGACAGAGCGGACTATATTCGATGAGCTACTAAAGACGTGGACGGATGGAGCGTGACAGGAGCAAACGTTAGGAGCTCCTATTAATGTTTTAAACGCAGTGCGTGCTACTGCCAGAACATCGAAATTGTTAGCCTTTCCTCTTAGTAGGTCCGTGAGGGGTCGCTTGAGCGACGCACATTCTGGTATAAAAAGAAGATTAAAGTTGACGAACTCGTCAATCCGTCTGAAAGAGTGAGGCTCTGGATAGCCGATGATGGTCTTACTTTTATCTTGTAGTGGCACGACGCCTACAGGAGAGGGATAGTATCCGAGAAAACTGACCGAATTGACAACAAACGAATACTTTTCTGCGTTGATCCTCTTCCCTTGTTGTGATAAACGGTCACATGTGTCCGAACGTGGCGCAAGTGTTCTCGTGAAGAGTTCGCGATTAAGATGTCGAGATAAGCGTAAGCAAAGTCTAGGCCGCGACAAACTTGGTCGATGAAGCGGTGAAAAGTTGGCGCGGCATTCTCTAAACCAAAAGGCAGGCGCAGAAATTTGAACAAACCAAGTGGGATTGTCACGGCAGTTTAGCGCTGTCCGCTTCGGCTAACGGAATTTGGTGTTATTCGCATACTAAATCGATTTTACTGAAAATGTTTTCGCCTGCCAGACTCGCAGTGAGATTCAAAGTGTGTGGGATAGGATAGCGATCGGTCGTGGTAACCGTATTGATGGTTCGTTAGTCGCCACAAGGACGCCATTCCTCCATATTCTTTTTCGGAACCATGTGGAGAGGTGGCGCCCATGGGCTGTTGGATGGTCTAATGATACCGA